TGCTTTATAAAGTTTTGAAGAGCAGAACAATTAAATTGTTGATAAGTTTTGGATACTATTATTTTTAAAGTAAACTGAATGGTTTATAAACATTTTAAAGGGATTATTTTTTAAGTAAAAAATAATATGTGTATAGATTTAAATCATTCGTCCTTTTCTTTATTTTTCAAAAAGAATAAATATTTTTTTAATATATGTGTTTCATATTCTATCTTTAATTTGTAGAAAATGGATTCACATTCTTATGCCGAAGTATTTTCATCATTACATCAACCTCATGTCTGGTGGAATTTTTCCACTCTTCGTGTAGAGTTTGTTTGGGAAGATGTGGAAGAAAAAAAACTATATCTTATCATTCTTGACCGAAACGTAAGTGAAACATTCATATTTTAATTTTGTTCTCATTAAATTTCTCTTTATAATATACTAACAAATATAATATTATATATTTTATACATTAGAGAGACAAAATGGCWGCAATTGTTTCATGTGGTTTACTGAATTTGTACAAACAAAGAAATTTGTTGGGAGGTGTTTTTTCTTTGGAACATTTTCAAATTGAAGGGACTTGCTATGAGTACCCAAGGTATGAAAAATATAGTTTTGTTCGTGGCGAATGAATCATCATCATCAGTAAAAACACCAAGTTAATCCCGTTGACGGGTGATATTGAAAGAAGGTTTGTGTTATATCCATCGGTGCCTTCGATAAAAACTCTTGCGGAAGATGGGAGTACAAGAAAGATGATAATCGGTAGATTAAAATCTTCTATTAAATATATATATATATTTCTCATATCAAATTAAAATTTAATATTTAGATTTAAATATCTTCTGTTAGATGTTGTTGGAAAAATAATAATGGGAGGACGAGTTAAGTATGTGCGGGACGATCGTGTCTTTCGATTGGGCTCGTGTGATCTATTTTTACAAGATGGAACGTAAGTTTGCATTTTGTATAAAAATTAATTATTTACCAAATTAACAAATTGTTTAAATTGTTTTATTAAGTTTACTATTTTAATAGGGGGCACATCATAAAGTTGCGGTTGTACGATACTCAGCATACACGTATTGTG